ATGTTCTTCCAAAAGAAGTTTTGTATGTTTCGGGCTGTAACTATTGCTAGGGGTTCAGCTTCTATCCACTTTGTGAAGTAATCTACTGCAACCACTAGGAATTTTATCCCGCCTGTTGCTGGTGAGATTGGCCCCAGGAGGTCGATGCCCCATTGAGCGAAGGGCCGTGGGCTGGGGAGGTATTTGAGGTCGGCAGCGGGCTGATGGTGGATGCTGGCCTGCTTCTGACACTTGTTGCATTTTTTGACGAGCTCGATTGCCTCTGCCTTCATCGTTGGCCAGTAGTATCCTTGTCGAAGTACTTTTTGGGCGAGGGCTCTGCCTCCCAGGTGTCCGCCGCACAAGCCTTCATGGGTGTCGCGCAGTACTAGCTCGGCTTCGGCTGGGTGCAAGCATCACAGGTAGGGGAGCGTGTAGGATCGTCGGTACAACCGTTCGTCTATCATGACGTATTTGGCTACCTGGTGCTGCACCCTCTTAGCTGCGTTGCGGTCCGCGGGGAGGGTTTCGTCTAGCAGGAAGCTCGCGAGTGTGTCGATCCAGCTCGGCTCTGCTTCAATGACGGGAGCGACCTCTTCTGACCCCCCGAGAATGCTGGGCCGAGGTAAGTTTTCTACGTACACGGTTCTCCTGGCGTTGTGGCTCGTGCTAGCTAGTCGAGACAGGGCGTCGGCCTCAGCGTTCTCTGACCTCGGGATTTGCTTGATGAAGTGTGACTGGAAGTTGAGCAGAGCCTCCTTTACTTTTGCCAAATATGCAATCATTGTGAGCTCACGCGCTTCGTATTCGCTTGTAACTTGGTTGACCACGAGCTGGGAATCACTACAGATAACCATGTGCTTTGCTCCAACCTTGTGCGCTACGTTTAGCCCGGCTATCAGTGCCTCGTACTCCGCCTCGTTGTTGGATGCCGCGAACTCAAAGCGTAGTGCGTATTCCAGTTTTGTTTCGCTCGGGCCGCGTAGCACTATTCCAGCCCCGCTGCCTTGTTGGTTCGAGGGGTCATCTACGTGAAGGATCCAGGGCTCCTCATCCCAGTTCGCGCTTGGTCTAACCAGGAGGGATGCCACACTGGCTGCTACTTCACGGGGTTCGGACTCGTTTGGCTTGGGAGCTCCGAGTTCGCCCGAACTGGGTATCTCGGGCTCGACCGGCTCAGGGGCTTCGAGGCTAAACGT